TTGTCAGCCCCCACCTCAACAGTGTATTGAAGGGGAATGTTGTTTTTTCTACTCTCAGTCAGCTCCTAGACCTAGACTATCCGTCTAAGAGGGAAGCTGCAGGGCAAGGCTAGGTCACCCTGATCTCCTAGCAGCTTATCAAAAGAATTATATGGGCAAGTTGGCAAGGTCCCTGCTGTGAAGGAAATCATCTGTCCATCTAAAGATGAAGATATTCCAACATGCACAAGCAAAGGAAACCACTACTAAGGTAAGTGATTAGAATCCTGGTGTTATTTTGGGCAAGTGTTCAAGTTCTAAATGCAGACACATGTGCTCTACATTTTCCCACAAATAATTTTCATTGCACAATTTATTGTTGGGAGTACAATGCAATTTAGCAGTGTGAGTCATCTCTAAATGGAAAATTTTATTTTGGAAATATTCTTCAAAGAATAATGTTTACTTTCCATTTTACTAACTGACATGAACTTTTAGTGAAATTTCCTAAATCAAGTATAAAAGCTGGGGGAAGAACATGTGAACCATACTTTTACAAGTAAAATTATAACCACATAGGAAATAAATTTTGGTAGACCTCTTACTGTTTTATGTTCTTTCCTCCCTCAGGTTTCATTTAGTGTGTGGTTGATGTGAAAAGGTAGAAGGTTTTATGTGTAAATATATAAATAATGTAGTACTATTTTGTAGTAAACTGAAAACTTCTGGTTAGTTTATTGCTGTAGTCTTCCATATTATGTAATAATCCTGTTTATGATTTAAAACATGTCCTTTGCCTATAGAAGTCTGTGGAAACTTAGGTAAGATGTCCCTTTCAGATGTTAGTGTAAGCCTAAGGGGGAAACTGTCAGATTTTCTTCTCTACATTGGAAAAATTAATAGGAGTTGTAATTTACTCTGCTAACATGGTTAGCTATCATCTATGTCTTAAATCAGTCATTTAATTCTTCATAGGTATGATATGAGCATGATATCATATGGATATGATGATATCTTAAACTTTTTTGCCTGAAAAATTTTAATTATAGACTTCTCAAAACATTAGCTGTAGCATTGGTATGGTTATTTATATGAAATGCTATTATAAAAATAGTATACAAAATAACCAAATCAGATTCTTGTGTCCTTGAAATCCCTTATTCCCTTGGAATAATTGTCTGAAATTTTAATGACAGAGCATTCTGTGACACTTGATAAACTAGGTGTATACAAAATAACCAAATCAGATTCTCAACTGTGTACCTAGTGAGAAGTACTAAAAGCTCACCTGTAAGTCCTCTATTACAACTTGCTATTACCCATTTACACATACATACACACACACACACACACACGAAATCTATGCAACCTAAGGGTTGTTCTGTTTACTAGTGTGAAAAATTAATGTATTATATATGAAAAAAGTCAAGCCATAGTTATAAATATAATAAATAATCCCAGAGGAGAGATAATCCCCAGATGAGAGACTCTCTGGTAGACCTTTTTTTTTTTTAATAACTACAAAATTGGCAGTATTACAACTTTTTGGTTATGTGTTTAGCATATGAATTCTCTACGTTCTGGATGTTTTAGTGCCAATAATTAAAAATATTATTATTCTCCAATTTTTCTTATGTTCTTGAATTTTTTACTATTTCAGATCTAGAAATAGTTCAGTCCTTTTGAAATGCTGTCTCAAGTTATTTTCAAGCTTTGAGTGTTCTGCTGAAGGATATTAATATAAATATGTTTCATGAAACTGTAAAGATCCTATATGCATTTGTAGATGTTTCATTTGCATTAGTAGATATTATTTATAAATTTAGATATTTTTCCTCTACAATAATCCTTTGTTCTGCTCTCCATTATAAGGGAGACGAGATGTTGTTTTTTAGAATAAGGGTGGCTCACTTAAGACGTTTAGAAAGTCCCTGCCCCACCTCCCCAAAAACTGCCTTTCAGTTATAGGACAAGTGATTTATTCATTGAAGACAGAGATTTTTTGTTGTTTAAAAATTTGAGTTTTGCTTTTATTGATATTTTTGGGGAAAAATATCCTGTATTCTGTAACACAAAATTACAATTATTTAGAGTAATTAGTAAAACAAGAGCCATCATATTGATACAGCGGGTAACATAAGTGCAAACTTTCTGTGAATATTTCTGGGCAACTTTCTCGAGAATTTTGTGGTCAGCAAATATATTTTGTCAAATCTGAGTTCATATTCAAAAGTTGGTAGATAAAATTAATATAAAACATTTGGTTGTATGATTTATTTTTTTTGAGGACTGTAATAAGCGATGGAAAACCAATTAAAATTCAGAAAGTAATACTAACATATAACAGGAAAAACAGAATGTTTCTAGGGGAAAATTATGTTAAGGACAGAGTATCTGGTTTCTGTTTACCTGTGATAAGTAGCCCTAGGGTATTAGTATTTTCAGTTTATATGACTGTTGATACACACATATACACATAAATCTAGGAGAAATATCGATTTAACTTTTTGTACTAAATCTCTTACACTCCTTGCAATTTTTTTCCCTTACTGTACATGTCAGTTTGTATTAATCAGATCTTAAGGACTCAGTATTTTACGTATGGCTAGTGTCTACCATCTCAGCGTAACTCTGGATTGTCTCCACTTTTAGAGCCTTGGTGGTCATTTCTCAGGGAACCGCTGTCTGATTCCCTATGATTCTCTCTTCAATTTGTGTTCATTTTCAGTTTCATAGAATTAGAGCATTTATCATACTTGTAAATTAATCTTTAATTGGTGAGGTTATTTGATACTTCTCATATCTTGATGTAAACATGACTTTCGTTTTAGTTCCAATATTTACATAAGAACTGGTACTCAGTAAATAGTATTTTACTGAATGAATTAGGCTCATTACTAGTATAGGTGACTTGACCAGAGTCACACATTTGATTTTGAAATTGGGCACTAAATCTTTCTAATTGATTTTGCTGGGATGAGAATGTTATAAAATATTACTAATATAAGAAGTGGTTTTAATCATAGTTTGATTAATGGTATTTTCCTAGGTAATACTTTCATAAGGCATATTTTTAATTGGTAGGAAACTTTTAAAACTATAAGCTTATTTTTTAAGTTGATTTAATATGCATGATAAGAGGTTTAATAATTCATATTTTTAAATTCCTTGCTCACACTCATCTTGAAGGTTATGACTGACTTAAATTATTAAATAAATTATTTTAAATGAATTTTTATAAGAATGATGATTTTGTATTCATTGAAAATACTATTCTCTTTTTTGGAGAAAGCTTACTGTGAGTTTGATAAAATGATTAAACCATGTGATCCAGTAATGGCGATTACTCAATTACTAATTACTTAAAGCCAAGAAATTATATTTTGACTATATATACAGTAATAGGTTGTAGCATAGTCTTGAGTCTAAAAGAAATTACACTTGCCCCTGCTCCCCCAACCTAGAAAATTTTACACTTTTGTGTGTGCCATACAAGTAGGAGGAATGAGATACTACTACAGAGTTGGGTAAAGTTTCATTGTGAAGCTAATTAAAACTTGAAATGTACTTTTAAGGGATAGGCATTTACCAAGTGAGGAAAAGAAGGAAGGGTAATTTCAGTCAAAGGAATAGGAGCATATACAAATACAGGTTTTTGAAACATTTTGTAAAAGTTCCTTTAAGCAATTAGAAGCAAATAATTCAGTCTAGCTACAATGTAGGCATGAAAATTGAGTCTGGAAGGGAAACTTCAGAGTACAGTCATAAAGAGTTGTGCATGGCATTCTTAAGAGCTTGAACATATTCTGTGTATTAGGGAACATCATAATGGAAGGGGATACCTAAAAATTGTGAACAATGAGGAGGTAATAATAGTAAAACAAATAATGGGGCATGAACTGTGGGAGTGTGAAAAGAGAGTACAGGGTACATACTCTTTGCTTACCTTGATCCCAACCCCCTCAACCCTTTCCACCCCATTCCCATTCCCCTACACCAAGAAGAGAAGAAATGGAGGACAGGGCTTAATTCTGGGAAACTCTTCTATCAGTGATTATAATGTGTCTGTATTTTAGTGAATTTTAATGGAAACTTAATATGTAATCTGTTAACTATCAAAGAACAGGATATGTTTTACAAAGTAAAAATGATTGATTTAGTCAGTTTTTCATGGCATGCCAACAAATATTCTTGATTTTACTCTGTGGTCATAATAACTTTAATCAACTTAAAACTGAAAGGATGTTTCATGCTCCATGCGTTCATTTAAAAAAGGTTTAATGTTTTATTAGTGCATTGAAGTTTTAATTATATGTTACATGTTAGAAACTACTTTCAAATTTTGTCTGTCAGAATCAAGGACTAAACTAGGAGTCTTATTAAAAAGCAGAGTCTGCAAAAGCATAATTCTATATCCATGAACCAACACTGTAACCAGGAACAAACAGCCAAGATAAAATGCCTGGATAAAAATGCCTTATCTCTACTTTGGTTGCATAAAAAGATCACAGGGGTCAAAACAACAGTAAGAAAAAACCATTTGTTCTCTGTTCGAATCCTATAACATACCTTTGCTAACCTTTTATGAAAAATCTCCCTAATCTTGGTTACTGCAAGGGTGAATGATGCCTTTTCCTTACAAAGTTTTGCCACTGTATGTGCACCAAAAATGACAAACTGAGAATAATACTCCAGGAGCCCTTCAGTTTTCATAAGGCATCATACCTTTTTCGCAAAGGGCAGTGGAATATGAAGCTTTTTGCATTTTTGTTTGACCCTTGTGATTTTCATCTTTATCATATATCATTTTGGGGCATGTGGTTATGCTGGGCTTTTCATTATATTCATTTTTAAGTCTTAAGTAAGGTGTCAGTGTGCCAAAAAAAAATAGATACTACGTCAAATTTTTTATAATGACATCCTTAAAATGTTAATAACTTAAATATTTCAAAGAACTGGATTATATATTTTTTTTACATTTTTATTTAAATAAATTAGAATATATTTGTTTTTCCATGCAGATTTGAGTTCTGTGAACCTGCATTTGTGGTTGGTAATTGCCTCCAGATAGCATCTGATAGTCATCAATATGATCGAATTTATTGTGGAGCTGGAGTCCAGAAAGACCATGAAAATTACATGAAAATATTACTAAAAGTTGGAGGCATTCTAGTAATGCCTATAGAAGATCAGGTAATTTCTATTGTCCTTTTCTTTTGTTTAATGACATAGAAAACAAGGAAGGGGAAATTATTACATTGTAGATTTTAAAGAACTGCTCTTAGATTTATCTTGAAATGCTCATATTTATCCAAAACAGGTAATAGGAAAAAAATCCTCTGCAACCATTAGAAAGGACTTTGACTTTCACTCAAACTACCTGTGTGGATTTGCCAAACTGTACCCTCCTGAAGATTTCTTACCTGGCAATATTGAACTGAATATAATGACCTCTGCCAGCCACTCAGTTTCCAACATTCTTTAACTCTTTCAGCTTATAAAAACAAGAAATCCTATTTGGGGGTTTCGTTTGATGTGCTTAACTCCATTAAAGAAACAAGTATATTTTAGAATCTTCATGTAGTACTGTATAGACTTATGTGAAAATATTCTTCAGCTATTTTCCTGCCTGTTTTTTGGTATTAGTAGGTATAATAAATGTTTGAAAACATAATTTACTGAGAAAATTGATCAACCTTTGAAAAGCAAATTACTTAAAATTTTTTTAAACTATATTGAAGACCAAATACTTGACACCTTTTATATTACTTTATGGCATATATTTAGGTGAAAGTAATTTTGTTGCATTCAGATACAAGTGATTTTATATAGCAATCATTGACAGTTATTTTTGAAATTGTAAGTAAGTAAGAAAAATCACATTTCCAGAATTAAATTAGTCTATTTTCCCCTCTAAATAGTTAACACAAATTATGCGAACTGGACAAAACACTTGGGAAAGTAAAAATATCCTTGCTGTTTCATTTGCTCCACTTGTGCAACCAAGTAAGAATGATAATGGCAAACCAGATTCTGTGGGACTCCGTAAGTAATGTTAATCCTTTCTGATTGAGCTGTGATTTAATATTTAACTCCTATGCTTTATATTTCATGCACTATATTATGAAGAACTCTGCAGCAGTGTATTCAATGTATTTATTCAGCCTTTTCCCCCATGCACCGCCACAACCCCCACCTCCCCCAGTTAGTTGCCTTTTTGGAAAGATGAAATGAAGGGACAGGTCAAACTAAAAATGAATTTATTAGTTATAGTTGTGAATTAATTATAGTAAAATCGGTGGATATAATTTTCCAAAAACTTTAATTCAGCTCAAAAGAACTTTGTTCTTCCAGGGTGGCTAGAGGTCACTGGCTAGGCTATAGAGGACAGTCTATAACAGAATTTTCTTGTAGTCAAAAGAGAGTCAGTGTTGTGTGAAGGTAGAATAATAGTGGACTGCATTGATGTTGGTGGAGGGAATAAAGGTTATCCACACTTTTGTTCTGAGCAACTAACTGGTGACAACATTCATTACTGTCTTTGAAGACTTGGAGTGAAATAGTTTGGAAATAGGTGTAGGAAGATTGCATATATTATTTTGACCATGTGTGAGTTGTCTGTTAGCACATAAATGTTAAGTAGGGTATGAACCGACTTCATGAGGAAGGTGGAAGTTGAGAGTCTTCAACATAAAGGTGTCATTTAAAGTTGCGAGAACATTTGGTGAGATAGCGAAGAGATGCTTGGATTAGAGCTATTGGCCACCATTCAGAGATAACAGGATGATGTATTCGCAAAGGAAGGACCTGAGAGAAATGGGAGGACTACCAGGATATTAGAAACTGAGGAAGAAAAATGTTTCAAGGAGGGAGTGAGCAACTTCCTGAGGGCTACTGAGACCTTGAAAAAGAAGAGGTTTGGTGTTAGAAATCGGTGGATACAGTTCTTCCAAAATGAGCTTTGGCTTAGTAAAACCTCTTAATTTGCTTCTTAAATGGATTTATTTCATAGCGAGCTGGCTTTTAGAAAGGAATTAATTTTATTTTCAGTGTTCATTTTTACCTCTTTTGAGCTCTATGATTTTGTGGCCTTTTTGGTGGTTTTGAGAATTACACGAAATAGTATTCATGAAGTATTTGGCATATAATAATTGCTTAATAAAGAATAGTGCTGGGATTTAGGGAGGATCATTAAATTGTACATGATTTTTCCTGTTTAGATTCTTACCAGTGGAGAAATGGACCTGGGTGTTAGATGGCTAGGGTCAGGTAGCTTTATTACCAGTCATAATAGTAGGAGAATATGGCTTAAGTCTGCACATTTAAATGAGGTTTACCTATTGCAAGTAAATCAGGTTTTTGCTTACAGGCAACACTGACTACTCACTATTGAGTTTAACCCATAAACACAGGGATGAGTAGAACTCAACCTGTGCACTTGTACGTGGACATAACCTAGAGGGAAGAAAAAAAAGAATAGGACAAAGATACACAGGCTTGCTGCTGCTTATATTCACAAGTTATACAAGCCACTCTCCTGCCTTGGGGAGAAATGAACATGGTGATAAAGAGAGGTCCTACTTGTAGTTCTGGAGTGAGTGTCACTTTGAGAGTGTCAGTGCTTGGAGGTCTATTCCCCACAATCTGAGGAGAGGAGTTACTTCCATTCTTCTCTGATAGCTGCCATCAAAGAAAATCACTATTCTGGATTTTTTTTTTTTTTTTAAGATTTATTTTACTTATGCGTACAAGAACGTGAGTGTAGGTCAGAGGTGCTGGGGGATGAGAGGATTTGCCAGAGACAGAATGGGGAGCAGAACAGGTGATTTATTGAAATTCACTGCTGAGGGGAGCAGTGGGCAAAACAGGAGAGGTCTGCTGTGCCATGTGGCTTGGCACCCTGACCGGGGATGGAACTCATGCTGCAGTGGCTGACGATAGCTTGATAGTGCTGAGACTTTAACACCCTGTGCCACCAGGGAGGCCCACCACTCTGGATTTGTAAGATTCATAGGGTCTGTATTCACTTGGATCATACAATTTTTTCAATGAAAGCTCCTTTTTAATAGACCACCCACTACACACACACACACACACATATACCCATGTTTGTACATGTAGGTATATATGTATATGTATATAAACATTTATGTGTACTGTACACTATAATGTACTAAACTATAATTTTTGAATACTTAAACTCCTTGTTAAAAAAAAGCTAGGGCAAGAGGTAAAGGAAAAAACAGTAGTAACAAAGTAAAACTATCTCTTTCCTCCTGTTTTCCAAGCATTAGAATTATAGTTTATGACAGTTTCGTTTAACTGTCACGTCACAACTGCTGGAGCGTCATAAGAAGTAGTAGTGGAAAGAAGATTTCTGGGGACCTCCCCAGTGGCGCAGTGGTTGAGTGCTGGGCTGTGAAGCTGCCCACAGCCTTTGCAGCGCCGGTTCTATCCCCAGCCACCGGCGAGGGTCCCACATAGAGCGTAGACTTCTCCTGCTGTGCCTGCTGCTCCCCTCAGCAGTGTACTTCCGTCAGTCTGTCTGTTCTGCTCCCCACTCTGCTCTGGCTCTGGTGAATTCTCTCACCTTCCCGCGCTTCTGACTGTACCCAGTGCTTGTATAAATAAATAAATAAAATCTTTAAAAAAAAAAAAGATTTCTGACACAATTTGTCTTGGACAATGACCTAAACATATGTTTAATATGCATCACATGTACGTGTACTCATAGGGTCCCTTGTAGATTTGTTTGCAGCAAATAGTTAAATGTTTTCCTTTGTAGCTGATATTATAATCCTCAGCGTTCTCTTTTTATCTGTCAAGTTTTCCTAGTTTAATTTCCTTTTGAAGAGTCTTGGTTATAATGCGATTTTATAACAACAGAATTTATAAACGGCATGAATGACGACATACTATAAATGAGTAGTATTTGTTTTCCATCATTTTAAGGATGTCAGCACAAACAGATCTAGGAAGTTTAAATAAGACTGTCATTGGTGGGTTGATTGACATTTGTGATTATGAATGTAAAGTAGGAATAAATTTAATGGAATAGGAAAAAATTGAAGAGAGTGAATGTTTTTAAAAACCCATCATCCCTCTGACATATTTATGAGTGAAATGATTTGTCTAAATCTCTCATCAAAATAATCCAAGATAGGGGTGTGAAAAGGAAATGGGAGTGTTAATGAACTAAGAGTAGCCATAAGAGAGAACTGAAGATGAGTGGTATATGATGTTCATTATGTTATTATCTTTCTTGCAAGAGGTTTTTTTTTTTTTTTTTTTTTTAGATTTATTTTATTTATTTATACAAGCACTGGGTACAGTCAGAAGCGTGGGAGGGTGAGAGAATTCACCAGAGCCAGAGCAGGGGACAGAACAGGCAGACCGACGAAATACACTGCTGAGGGGAGCAGCGGGCGAGACAGGAGAGGACTGTCAAACCATGTGGGACCCTCGCCAGTGGCTGGGGATCAAACTGGCACTGCAGAGGCTGTGGGCAGCTTCGCAGCCCAGCGCTTAACTGCTGCGCCACCAGGGGAGGCCCCTTACAAGAGTTTCTATAAATTAAAGGAAAAAAGTCATAGCTACCAACAGTAACTTTTAAAAAATGAGTCAGGAATTATGAATTAAAAAAAAAAGCTTTATATAGTAATGGCCAGAATATGAAAAAATTTTTGGTAATTGTCTAAATTTAATAGGATATGGAAAATAAGAGCAAGTTTCCTTTTCTGTAAAAACAGATTGGTGTTCAAAAAACTTGATTTCGTTAATAATTATTGCAAGTTGAATATGAAAAGAATGCTGGTACCAAAAAGCTAAACATAAATATACATGCAAATCTTTTCTCAAATATAAATTTTAGCTATGAAATTGCTTGTATTAAGTAGCTACTAAAATGTAGTTGGAGCTTTTTCTTCAGGTTCATCACTAATTTTTATTCAACTTAAAATGATATTTCTTAGCTTTTTTCTGGTATAAGACCTTCTAAAAATAAGAATACACTGCTTGAAGTTTAGGGCTGATTTAAAAGTCATTGGTTTTATGGATTTGACCCAAATAAAATGCCTTTTCACTCTTTGTTAATAAGGTAAAAATGAAAGTGCTGACTTCTAGGTTCCTATAAAATCTATACAGAAACCACCTTTGGGGAAACAAATAGAGCTTCGATGTGTGTGTTGGAGATAACCTTAATTGTAATTTTGGATTGAAAACTTCAAAATAAAATTTTATAGCAGTCAGGGTTAGTATTGTCTGGTCCATTAAATCCTTATCTCAAAGCTGGAAGCTTTAGAAACAAGGAAATGTCATAGAATAGAAAACATTGGGGCTTTTAGAATAGGTAGGGGACTGAAAATTATGTAAAGGTCTTTGTATCATTGAGAACTTTTATATGAAGATCATGTAGATCTTATTTTAGAACTTCTGAACTTCAGAAGATACTAACGTCAAATTTCCTTTCTCATTCTGGATCTAGTTGGTTATTTATGAAGTTTAGGTATTTTTGCAGTTAGGATTGAAAGATACTTCATTCTTTTCAGCATCTTTCATTCTCTCAGGAATAGCAGTGAATGTGGCAGAACAACAGCATATTAAGGTGTTGAAAGAAAATTCAGGTAATGTGAGAGAGGTTCAAGAGCAAAGATCAGTTAAGAAGACTTATTGTTTTGGTTTTTTTTTTTTTTTTGGTTCCTTTATTATTTCTAAAACTTGTATATAGATGTATTTTCCATCCTCCCCTTTCACAGAGTTCATTCAAACTCAGGCCTTTTCCTTTCTTTATATTCATTCTCGAGTGTTCTGCAGTTTCTGGTCTTCTGGTCTTTGATTGTCATGATTTGCTGATGACTCCTAGATTTTTATTTCCAGGATTATATTTAAGTGCTTGTGTTTGGAAAGGAGCATAGACTCTACACTCAGATGCTGCATTCAGGTCCCAACGCAAATCACTTACGACCTCTGTGACCTTGCTCAAGTCACTGAACCTCAGAGTTAAATATAAAACATTATAATGAGGATTTGGTATGCCATTAGTCTTA